ACCTCTGTTTAACCTAATCCCCCATCCTGGTCATGAGTAGATCTCTGCATATACACTTGATCCGCAATACCCGTACTGAATAAACGTGCGTCTGTTTCCTTTATAGCTGGGCTATAGCTTAGCTGGTTCTGGGAGTCAAGCTAGATGTAGGAGAATCTGTCATAGAGATTTCTGAGTCAGTCAGGCTTTAATAAAGTAACGATCCGCTACACATATCAGCCATCATTCAGTCTTTAAATTTGTTCTATTATCTCATTATTTCGAAAGTGTTAGTGAAAAGTATAAATTAATAAGCAAACGAATGAAGACCTTCATTTACAGAAAAAATAAGAAATTTAAAAAAAGTGTCTCCAGTCGCCCTGAAAATCAGACATCTCTCGAAATTACTTAGTCAGGTATATGTAGAATTGCATACGTATATATTGTCATGAGTGAGGCAGTAAATTAGTATTTTAAACTCTCTGACATTTTAAAACTTTTTTAAAGCGGCTTTCTGACCCTTATTCAATACCGCGAATAAAAAAAATTAGGGCAGCTGCAAATTGAACAATTTGATTAGAATAGATTTAATTTAATAATATTCATAAATTACTTTATCTCTTAATACCAGCCAGCATGTAGTGACAACAAGTGGTTCAGCTTAATTCTTCCCCATTATTTTGAGGGTTGCAGATAATTATTCACTGAGAGATCATTAAACAAATTAAACAAAAGCGCGTGCTTCTTTTGATCTATGGGACTTACGTCGTGATCAATATCGTAATTAAATAAACAAACCAAATATATACATTTCTTCTATACGCATTTCTAAATTACTGAGAGTTGGTTTAAGTTAAAAATATTTTGTTTATTTTATGATATTTGCCAAATCACATCCCACTGTTTTCCTCATTTCGCTTTATATTTAATAAGCGAGGTATACCAAAAAATTAAAATTGTAGCTAAAATTAGTTTCGACTGTGATGTAGCAGTTACACGCAGTGCATAAATTTCTATCTGAATAGACAAAAACAACAAGTTTCTATAATCAATATGAGTAAAGTTATCATAAACAACTGAATGGTAAAACGTTCGCTGATATCCTATTCTAATACCCTGAGCAATCTAACAATTACAGTTAGAAATTAACTTTTCAATAAAGAAGTTTAATAAAAGTCTAGTTGAAATAAAGGTTGTGGCATTTAGCTCATATAAGATCAGTAAAGCGAAATTAGTATAGTTAATTCAAAAGTGGTACAACTTTAGACAAATCAAATCGATAATTTGTTCGAAAAAATGACTACATTTACCATCGAATCCATAACGAATTGCTTTTCAAAAACGTAAAATAAAAATAATTCATAGAGACCAAATTAGGAATTAAACCAGCTTTTAGTCATTTTTTACCAGTTTAAAAATAAATTCATTTAATATTTTCTAAACCTCCTGCCTGATAAAATATATCGTTAATGAGTCGCAAATAAAGTATACCTTGTTATAAAACATTATTTAAATGAAATTAATTACATTAAGCATTTAGTTTGCTTTATCATAATTTCATTGAATAGGAACTCATGAAATTAATAACTGCAAATTTTAGGGTTAGAACAAATCAGAAATTTTCTGAAAATTGATGAAAACTCCCAGTCAGGTTACCAAGAAGTAGGTTATGATGTACAGAAAGGGGAATAGAAGGAATCTCAGTTCAAATCCCTCTAATCTCATTCAATATTATTTTTTTTATTTTAACATAAATCATTATTTAAAATTTCATAGATTATGAATAAAAGCAAAAGAGAACCTGAGTGAAAACTGGAAGCATTCCTTGAAATTAGTACCTTAAAACAATTTGGACAGACTTCGAAAAACGAGTTAATCGATATTAAAAATCACCATTATTGACTGTTTAAATTGGCAATATGGCACCCTAAGTTTAATCATATGGAATCTAACATCTGTCTTTAGATATTTCATAGCAAAAGAAATAAATAAACTAGAAATTTAATTGTAAACATATCAATGGAAAAGGCAGTAAAAATGAATAAAGTCATATGGATTGTCGTTGGAACACATTCAATGAAAGAAATGAGTAATTGATCTTGATACGAAGGAAACAAACATTAAAGAAAATGTTCCTCTTTCAAAGAACTCAAAAATAATAAGATTTTCTCCACCAGCTGATTATCCAATAGGATTCTCTAGGGTACCCACAGGTGACACCCATGCTATCATTATAGCCTAAGAATAATTGAAGTTTCTATTCAAATAGCGGTAGTTTTCAATTCTTAGTATAAAAATTTCTCAGAAAACCGAATTCAAATTTTCTAAATGCTTACTCAGGTTATGTTCTTTCAAATAGCCCAACAGCCTGTGTTCCCCTTGCGATAAGTACAAACTAAGCCAACTGTGATAGTGGTCTATAATAGAACGACCGTAAACGTGCGCACATATCTGCACTTTAAAAGAACATTTCGTAAAATTTAAATATATTTTTTGAATATACAGAGTACGATTAGATTTGAATAAATTGAACAGATTCAAATATCATCTCTAATTCAAAAGGAAAACGCTAAGAGCCAAATACAGAAAGACTTAAGTAGGAAGAAAGTAGAAATAAATAATAACGAACGCACCCTACGCAAATGCCTTCTGCTAAATCTTCCAGTGAAGCATCGAGGTCTTCTAAAAGGACTCATTTTAAAAAATAGCCATAGAAGTAGTGATATCACCCCCCAGAAGAATAAGTATCTATTTTCTTAGCTCTGAGGCCACGATTGCTAGCACGCGCTTGATTTTAATTCGCTCTCATGAGATTAACTCACTCTTGTGTGAGTGGATGATCCTTTCAAACGCGAATATCCTTGCAGTGTGTGGTTCTCTTTAACTTCTCTCTAAATTTATGCTCATACATGACCAGATGGTCTTATTGAGTGTGATGGTGCCATCTCTCGGCTATAATTCGGGTCAGTTTTGGCATCGTTGGAATGGATTTTTTAAGCGAAATGCGTGCAATTATCAGCATTTAACGTTAAGTATCTCCAAGAGCATTATTTTAAGCATTAATCGGTTGTGGGAAGCATTTATTGCCATGCGATATTAAAAAATAGCACTCATTTAAGACTGGAATGGAAGTAAAACCATCACTCAACATCTCGTGTACAACCATATAAGGAGTAAGATACTAAAAATGAATGACAATTTCGGTTTCGAATACCAGCATCAAGAACAATGTTTACTCACATGCTTTAGAAACTAAGTTTTAGCTGAATAGACTGAGAATCTCACTAAATTAAGCTTCCGATAACAAAGAAGACCCTAAACACAATTACGAATTTTCGAGACCTGAGTTCCCTTGTGTCATTCTTATCTCCTGTGTAGACATCATATAAAAGTCATGTGGACTCTGTCAAAGTTCAGTGGAGAAAAATATTTTGTCACACTTCAAAAATTTAATTACACTTAAAATCAAAAATCAAATAAGTGCCATAAAAAAATTTGTTACTTGTTTTCAAAATGGCAAAAAAATGGATCATTTTTCAATTTGATTTCCAAACTAAAATTTGCACCTTGGACGGCTATTCGGTGATACTGAACTTTAGTAAAATGGAAAATTGACAAAATCAATGTGAGACGCCATTGATGGAAGAATAACCAGTGATCTCTGAATTACTTGGCGGTGTGTAGAACAGTTGTTGCTGACCCAACCATGATCTGAACCACTTCTATCGACTCAAAGAAGTTTGAAACATCGTATTTTTATGTAAGAAGATGGTTGTTGCCTATCATTAGTCTCATTAAAAATTAAACGATAAAAAAAGTTTCTTCAACACTCTTAGCTTAACAGTCTTAATTTTCAAGGTAGTAATTAGAGAAACAGATGGGTAAATATACCTACATGTTGGCGAATTTATATAAAGATTGAGATCACTCAAGAACTCTCAAACCTTTACCTTTAGCCATTAAATTGCCAATTTTTTAATCAGATTTGGTTATTCCAATAGTTTGAGTAAAACCTCATTTTGGGTAAAAATCCTATCAAATTTAATGTACTATGTGCATTTGTCTAGTTATTTAAATCAAACTTCTAGACTAACATTATAGTAAGGCACATTTTTTGAGCTTTAAAATGGCACAATAGGTTTATAATTCCTATTCAATATCTAAGAATTTTATCCCATCAACTTTGCAACAACTGTCCTAATTACATTCCATTTAAAGTTGAAAAACAACAATAACCTTGCTTTAAAACATCCATTAAAGTCTCAATACCCTATTTCTTTAAAGTGGTATTGAAAATAATACTTTATACTATCACACGGAAACAAATAAATATGAATTGTCACAAAAAATAAAGCAAGTTACCTTTTGATTGGGTGATGATGCTATAAGATTGTCCGCATTGGTGGAGTTAATGTTCGAATCAAGATTCAAAACATGAGAAGGCAAATATTCTTGTTTCTAAAACAATCCAAAAAACGAGACATTAGAATAAGACAAATGAAGTTTGTGTTTGAAATGGGGATGTTTTTTCCTACCCTAGCTAAAGCTGGTGCTGAAGCTCTAAATTTCTTGGATGTAAACGGCTGATCACTCTTATTTTGTTCATCCACAGATTTCCTGAGAGGTGGGTCTGCAGTCTCCTCCAGCGTCATAGGACTCTCCAAATCTGTTGAGGCATTTTTCTGTGCCTGGGATTCATCCAACAGTGAGGGGATACTCTGCATGCCCAAACTATCTCTAGATTCATAAGCATTTAGAATATTCACCGAATGAGTTCTTCCGGAATGAGCAAAACTTCGGCGTCGACTAAATCGTCGACTCACACCCCTGCTTAAAAGAAAGAAAATGTTTAAATCAATGATTGAGTAGAGGTAGCAGCATCTAAAACACCAATCACACAAGCCATGCTGAATCTAATCCCATCAAAGCTGAGCAAAAGATAGGAGGGATAAGAATGAGCTCAACCAGTGGTGCAGAAAATAAAGTTAAAAGAAATCGCAAACGCTGGAAGACCCTAACTTACCGGACAAGCCTACAATGCCACAATAGAAAGTTGTATAAATAATGAATCGCATATAATAACATCTACGTAATTAAAGGAAGTAGTGCTTGTGTGATAAGATGGATACCTGAAAAATCCACGCTCAATGCTTTTGGAGCGTCTGCGTAGCGCCATTAGGGTTGACATTGTGCGTTCTAAACCACCGCCACCAGATCCAACACTCATACTCCGACGAGATCGACTTCCTCGGAAGAAGAACCTTGAAAACCCGGAGGATGAAGAGGCGGAGGGGGAGAGAGAGGAAGTTAGGGAGATTGGAGGTGGTTGTAATCCACCGTTGACTGCGTTGAAGGTAAGAGCACTATTTGAAGAGGCACTAGAGGGTTCTTTGACTCGAAAGAAAGTGTGGCAGGTTACAGCATACTGCCAGAAGACTTTAGCGCGTTTGGCGGTATCAAAATAGAATGTGGGATTTAGGGCCTTTTTATTGGCAGGGGCGATAATAGAGGTTTCAAATGCAGGATCCGATTTCAAAAGTTTAACAGGGCGCTAAAGTGAAAACATAACTGCAACCATTATTTCACCTTTTTTAACTCATTTAAGAAAAGTGTAATAATAGCATTTGAATCAGATCCAACTAATCATGTTTCCAATTATCCACATTGTCCGTTGAAATAAAATATGCATTTAACCGTCCACTGCCCTGAATTTGCATAGATCAAAGTTGAAGCTAAGACCTTTTACTTAAAAGAAGTACACTTTGCCTAACACACTAGTAATCCTTTGAACTTTATATTCGTTTGACAATTCAATTAATAATTAGGATTATTTAAATCAATATAATAAATGAAATCCCATTTTATGACTTCAGAATCAAGGCTAAAATCACCTGGAAATGACTGGTAGGCCACATGGAATGAAATACGAAGTGGTTAAATTTTTTCAAGAAATTATATATCCATATAAGGGGTGTGCGATAGACTTACCTCCACGTGGTGCACCCTGAGCAACGTATACTCATGCGACAATAAAGTCTATTAACTGGCAGTTGACTCTTCACTTCAAAATACCATGGCACGACTGCTTGTCATATTCGACCCCTTCCACAGTACTCATCTTACCTTTTTCCCTACCTTTATGTCTGTCTGCCTCTTTTACATCTGTGAATCGCTCTTCTGATCCCCACCCCTCGACTTTCTGCTACTTTGATGAACCTTCCCTCTGTAAAGCCTGAAGTCAGCTAAATGGCTAATGATAGCTATCAAAACGCCTGCCACTTGAAATAAATATAAATATATCCATATAAGGACAAGA